TCCCGACACTTCCTGTGCCCAGCAGGCGGTCCAGCGGTTGACATGACAACCCCTCTTCTCTCTCTCCTTTATCTGGGCGCAGGACGGCGTAGTCGCACGGACCAGCTCTCCAGACTGCTTCGCGTGGGCCTGGCCACCTTGCCCGGAGCTTGCTCTCGGTGCTGTCCGGAAGGAGGCGCGCGCTACGCACCTGCAGAAACTCTCGAGCACCTTTAGTGGACTCGCGGGCCGGGGTCTACAGGCCCTGGGTCAGATTTCCGCCTAGAAATCACCAACCAGGTCCAGCCCCTCCCACCTCGGCTCAGTCCCTGGTAGCATGCTGGCGTCTGCTGCGGCCCGTTTTCCCTCCCCACCAAGGAGACCCCTGGGTTAATGTTCTCCTTTCCCATGGGAGAAAATCTTCACCAGGGCCTGAGGAAGTTTCATGTGGAACCCGAGGACAGCCAGACAGTGCTGTGTTAGGGTCTGTGTCCCAGACTCCATCAGAAACATTGATTTTATTTGGTGGGTTTTTTCTTTGTTTGTTTGGTTGGTTGGTTGGTTTTAGTCCACACTTGCAGTGCTCAGGGCTCACTTCTGACTTCTGTATTCAGGGAATCACTCCTGGAGGGCTCAGGGGACCTTGTGGGGTGCCGGGAATTGAACCTGGGTAGGCTGCGTGCACGGCCCTCCCTGCTGTACTTTTGCTATACTCTTGCTCCAGCCCTGAGATGTTCATTTACATCCTTTGTCTCTTTTGTTGTTGTTGTTTTGCCCTTCTTTTATTTGTTGGGCTTTTTTGTTGTTGTTGTTTTTTGCCTTTTTGTGTCACACCCAGCGATGCACAGGGATTACTCCTGGCTCTGCATTCAGGTCTCCTGGCGGTGCTCAGGGGACCACATGGGATGCTGGGAATCGAACCCGGGTCAGCCACGTGCAAGGCAAATGCCCTACCCGTTGTGCTATCACTCCAGCCCGTTATTTGTTTGTTTTATTTTATAAAGTAGTTCACAATATTTGATTACATTTAATATTCAAACACCAATCCCGCCACCATGACACCTTTCCACCACCATATTTCAGGTGTTTCCATTCCGAACCCCAATCTCTGCCCCAAAAGCAGAACCAAAATAATGTATTTCCCTCTAAGGTTGGTTACCTCCTACTTTGAATCCCATCAAATGTGGTGCGGTCCTCTTGACATCCTTTGTCTTGAAAACAGTTTTCTTGTTTGTCTCAGCAAAGGCTATTCCAGATAAACATGAGAACCTTCCTTATGAACCTGCAGAAGAAGAAATAGTCCTGAGGTCTATATAGACCCTGGGGGTGGTCACCTAATGGTCATGTTGTATGCATTTCTGTACATTTGGGGCCTGACAGATGGCAGCCCGGGCAGGGTGCTTGCCTTGCATGCAGCCAACCCCAGTTCAATTCCTGGCAATGCATGTGGTCCCCTGAACACTGCCGGGAGTGACCCCTAAGCACAGAGCAAGAGTTATCCCTTAGTGATCCCAAGTGATCCCAAGGTGTGACCCGTGCCATCTCTGTTCCCTCCCCACCCCCCATCTCCCTCAAACAAAAAGGCTCTCAGGGGTTGCAGAGATGGTTCAAGGTTGAGCACATGCTATGCATACATGACGCCCATGAGAAAAAGAAAAAGATTGTACCAGAACTAAGGATGAGGAAGAACTTTGATTCGGCTGGCCAGCACTAAGCTGTCTGAAGTCTAGAGATATTCGCTGTGCTCTTGGCTCAGGGTTCTTCTTAATGTTATCAGTGCTTGGAAAACTGTCACTTTGCTCCCATCGGCCGTCGGCGGCTTAAAGAGTCTTAGAAGGCTAAGTTGAAAACAAATGGATGGGGTGGGGGGGCGGTTGGAAATAGGAACAGTGTAATGTCTGGTTGTGAGATGCTTTATATTCAAACTATATAACTGATGGGTTTAGTATCCGAAGATAAATGGGGTTTATTCTGCATGAGTCTGGGAAGCATTGCAGTCCAGATCATCTTCCTTCTGCCCCCTGGTCTGTTCACCACTTGACTTCCAGGCTGCCTCTCTGCTCTGCTTTAGTGACACACTTCCTGTGTTAGGTTTGTGCTTCCACATTTGACATTACGCTTTAAAACAGTCTAGGGGCTGGAGCGATAGCACAGCGGGTAAGGCGTTTGCCTTGCACACAGCTGACCCGGGTTCGATTCCCAGCATCTCATATGGCCTCCCAAGCACCGTCAGGAGTAATTCCTGAGTGAAGAGCCAGGAGTAACCCCTGGCCGGATCGCCGCGTGTGACCCAAAAAGCAAAATAATTAAAATAAAATAAAAATAAAAACCATCTATACTGGGGCTGGAGCAATAGTACAGCGGGTAAGGTGTTTGCCTTTTTGAGTGCATGAACCAGGAGTAACTCCTGTGCATCATTGGGTGTGACCCAAAAAAGCAAAAAAAAAAAAGAAAAAAAAGAATTCATTGTTCTCAACAGATTCTATCATAACATTTTGGGATGGGAATCATCCCATTTCCCCTAGGTTTGTGCTCTTGTTTTTTTTTTTTAAAGAGAACTCTTATTTATTTATTTTTTTTTGTTTGGGGGCCACATCAGGTGATACTCAGGGGTTACTCCTGGCTCTGAACTCAGGAATTACTCCTGTCAGTGCTCAGGGAACCATATGGAATGCTGGGGATCAAACCTGGGTCAGCCATGTGTAAGGCAAACACCCTATCCACTATACTATCTCTCCAATCCCTAAGTTTATGCTCTTCTTAGAACATTGGGTTTCTTCACAGTCTCTCCACCTTCAGCTGCAGGGTTGGGCTCAGGAGCGGAGTATGGGTGAGAACTGGCTACCTCTTGGGTGGGACTGCTGGCCAGTGGCTCAGTCTGAAGTCCAGCTGCCTTGAGTTGTGTTTCGTAGTGGATGGATGTCTGCCATCTCAGGATGGTTGACAAAGATTTCTCGCTGTGGTGTATATGTCACTCTCCTACAGGGTAGTTCAATCCTGATTGGGGCCAACTGTACCAGCTCAAGTCTGTGTTACTGAATCATCTCTGTCTTTCCAAGAAATTTTGATAGGAAACCCTAAAGGATCTGAAGAGAGGGTCTAAACTAGATGATCAAGTCAGCATGTTCAGCCTTGTCACTGGGAAGCAGGTGGCAAGCCATTTGTGGTCATAGAAGGACCTTTTGAAGTAAGAGCAAAATTTTTGTTCTGGCTCCAGAGAAGATAGATTCAGGGCTGGAGCGATGACACAGCGGGGAGGGCATTTGCCTTGCATGTGGCCCACCCAGGTTCAGTTCCCTGGCACCCCATATGGTCCCCCGAGCACCATCAGGACTAATTCCTGAGTGCAGAACCAGTAATAACCTCTGAGTCTTGTCACCACTTGTAACCCAAAAAGAAAAAAAAAAAAGATAGACTCAAAAGAAACAACTGGACTAAACAGTTTAAACTCAAGGAATTAAATTGCTAAGCACAGGTTATTTAAAATGTAGTTCTATGGAAGAAAAACTATAATGTCTGTTGCCAGCCACCATCTCTGGGGGTAGAAACACCCATCCTAGAAATCATGGAGGTTTGTTCTGAGCCATGCATAAGTCTCACGAGAGAAACCTTTTAACACATAGAGGACATGCAACCACCTGCACTAGGGTTGAGAGAGTTTTGCGTTCCCTGTCTGACATCATTGCTGGCCCAGGAGAACGCTCCTCTGTATCACAGCTCTGGTCATGTCTTTAGAAATGTCCAGGTTCAGAAATAGAGCAGAGAGGGGAGCGACCTCAGCGTTAAGAACGCTCCTGCAAGGTCACTGTCAAGCCCTGCTGTGGAACTCACACCACACCGCATGGCAGGATCAAATACAACCACAGCCAGTTCCTTTTCAGTGTCCTGGAGTTGCAGGCTTCAGTGGCTTGGCTCGAGGGGGAGGGTCGAGGAAGCTCAGAGTAGAAGTAGGAGAAGGGATACCCAGGGGGGTGAGGTATACCAGGAAACAGGAAGTGCCCGAGTGCTGACAGATTCTTCCTGAAGTAACTGTCCAAGGGCAGTCAGAACCGCTGCCTGGTGGATTCTGGTCCTGCAGCTGTGGACACTTCTTCATTGACCAGAGCTTGCACTCACTTTGTTTTCACCTGTATTTTTTTTTCTTTTTGGGTCACACCTAGCAATGCACAGGGATTACTCCTGGCCTTGCACTCAGGAATCACTCCTGCCAGTGCTGGGGAGACCATATGGGATGCTGGGAATCGAACCTGGGTCAGCTGCGTGCAAGGCAAACACCCTACCCACTGTACAATCACTCCAGCCCCTCACCTGTAATTTTAGCGGGGATGCCTTTTCATGCTTTACAAAACAGCTCTAGAGGGTTTCTTTGCAAATGGCAGACATTTGCAGTCCTCGCTGAAATAATCCGGGACTGGATTAAATTGAGTGAACTTTGCAGTGGTGTTCTTATTTGTTTTAAACTGTGGCTTCTTCCATTGGTTTGTGTTACTTCGTATCCAGTGACTGCTAGTCCTCAAATTTCATTTCAAAGTCCTGTGTATCTAAATCTTGTTAAGATCTGTTGACTGGAATACTATATTCTTTTGGCGGTGGGAATTGAGGCACACCCTGCTGTGTTTAGGGCTTACTGCTGGCTCTGTACTCAGGGGTCACTCTTGGTGGGGCTCAGGTGACCACCTGGGGTATCGGGGATGAAACCGAAGCTAACCTTAAACAGGGCAAATGACCTACCTGCTGAATTATCTCTCTGGCCCTTGAATAGTACTTTATATTTTTCTTTTTGTCTCACACCCAGTGATGCTCAGGTGTTACTCCTGGCTCTGCACTCAGGAATTACTCCTGGCGGTGCTCTGGGAGACCGTATGGGATGCTGGGGATTGAACCCGGGTCAACCGCGTGCAAGGCAATTGCCCTCCCTTCTGTACTATCACTCCAGCCCCGAATGGAACATTCTTAAATTTAACCTTCACCTCGCTAAACGATCCCTGTATATATTGAGCGTTTCTCCTTCTGCCTTGCAGGTGCCAGGATTGCTGAATATTCCCAACTGTATGACCAGATCGTCTTCAGAGAGACTCCAGTGAAAATGCAGAAGGATGGTTGGGCCACCCCGCAACCACCGTCGGGCCCCACGGCCTCTGCCTCGGTGTCTCCTGCCCAGCTTGGCAATGAGGACTGGCTTTTGAATTCGACCTACAGCAATGGAGAGTTGGCAGATTTCTGTCCCCAGTCCGAGCTAGACTTGAAGTCCAAGTACCCCACGTTAGAGCCGAGCCGGAAAAGCACGCCACGGAAGCTGTCCACGGCCTTCTCTGTGCCATCGCTTCAGACGGCCGACCCCCTGCTGGGCTCCGTGCAGAGACAGAGTGTCATCGTGAGTCAGCCCAACAAAGACACCTCGGGTCAGGGGCCCCTCTACAACTCCCTGGGTCGAAAGGGGCTGGGGGGCCCCCCACAGCCCTACAGCAGGTCCCAGTCATCGTCTTCCATCCTGATCAACAAGTCCATGGAGTCCATCAGCTACCCCGGAGAACTGGGGCCACCGCAGCCACTGACCCCGCACATGGGCGCCCGTGGGGACAGCCTCCAGGATTTGCTGCCTAGGATGACTGAGTCTTGTCTGCAGGGCAGGGACAAACACTCCGACCTCACCCTCCAGGATGCGCAGAAGGTTCTGGTCGTGAACAGAAACGTGGCCTTGAAGGCCCAGATCGCCACCCAGAACTATTTTTCCAATTTCAAAGAGACGGAAGCAGAGGAAGATGACTATGTGGAGATCAAGTCAGAGGAAGACGAGGCCGAGTTTGAGCTGACGCACCATCGTCGGACGAAGTCGGACCCCAAGCTCGTGGACAGTTACTTCCCCCATAGCCTCGGCAGCAAGGACCCCGCATATGCCTTGAATAGTCCCTGCACTCCCAAAAAGCCAATGGCCGGCAGCCTGGGCCTTGGGCCTTATCTGACCCCGTACAACGAGGCCGACAGACTGAATGACTATCTCTGGCGAGGGCCATCTCCTACTCAGCAAAACATCGTCCAGTCGTTAAGGGAGAAATTTCAGTGTCTTAGTTCCAGCAGCTTTGCCTAAGTTTCTTCCCCCAATGTTGACAGGGGAATCATGCACCGAAGGTGGTGTTTTGTTTGTACCCGGTTGAAACCGTTTTGTAATAGCCAGAGGTGTAAAATATACTTTTCTTTTACGGCACAAGTGTTTTGAGACAGCTGACAGGGCGGCCCACAACATTCCATCACCGAGGGCTGTGTCTCTCCGAACAGGGCGTTCAGGGATGTTGGTTTCTTCACGTTTCATGGAAGTCAAATCTGACTTGACATTGTTTTTTTTTTTTTTTAAAACCTTTGTTTGTCCCCCCCGCCCTCCACTGCCCAACCAAGCATGATGACCATGACATTTTGTTTCCTTTCCTGACAAGAGTGCTGAGATTTTAAGAAATGCCACATCATCCTTTCTAAAGCCACACGGAGTTTGAGTCCAACGCAACAAGAAGGCCGTTTCCCCGGTTAGAAAGGAAAAGAAACCAAAGCTGTTTGCTGAGCTGTACTAGCATATTTGTTAAGTTGGGCGGCAAGATCAGAGAGTAACAAGCTCTGTAATAACTGTCTGCAGTGGCCCAGTTAGGGATTCTAAGCGGGGGTTTCATCACAAAGCAGAAACTGGGTGGGAAATGAGAAAGGAGAATGTAGCAAGACCAGCTCTCGCCTCTGGACGCGTATTCCTGGACAAGGCTGGAAACGTGCTGCTCCCCACATTCACGATGACTCCTGGGTCAAATAAATGAGTCCCCCCAATAAATAAATAAATAAATAAATAAATGAGTCCCAGTGCATCCAGAAAACCCAGCACAGGAAAATGCAAATTGACTTAACTCTTAGATGGGTGAATGTAGAGGATTCCCTTACCTGCCTCCTCCCCCAATCACCCTCACATTTCCGGTGGCTGGGTGGGAAGGGGAGATTCATAGGATTTTTTTGTGTGTCTCTGATGAGCATGAAGGAAACCATAAACTAAAAGGAAAACAAGCACTTTACAGGCCCCCTTTTCTGTAGGACCCCCCTGACTTCTGGGCTCGGTCCAGTGACCTCGCCCTGTGTTCATGGATTTTCACACAGCCTTTTTTCCATCCCTGAGAGGCCCACAGAGGAACAGACCCGCGGGTTGCTCAATCGACCCAGAACATCGGACTCTGGGTTCTCATTATGATCTCATTATAATAGCAGTTCTCTGAGATTTTATGCACTGCTAGAGCTCATCAAAGGACACAGGGGAACAGAAACACACACACACACACACACACCAAAAAAAACAAGAGGAAGGCTGGGAGTCAAAGAACCCAATCAAAGGAACTTAAGGCAGAGTGGCTGCTATTGCTACTTTATCAAGGATTCTGCCCCATCAAAGACTTCAGAATGTTTTCTCTGGAGCCCAGAGCCCCACGTGGCATAGTGGGTACGGCATTTGCCTTGCACTTGGCCGACCCTTGTTTGATCCCCGTTATCCCATATTGTCCCCTAAGCGCTGTCAGGAGTAACTCCTGAATGCAGGGCCAGGAATAACCCCTGAGCACCACAGGTTGTGACTCTGTGGCCTTTGTGTTTTCATGACAAGCAGTTTCCCCTTCTGTGGTCCCTGATCTACCCGCTATTTTCATTTTATTTTGTTTTGTTTGCATTTTAAAAGCCAGGCTAATAATCTTATGGCTTATCAGGGTGAGAAGTCAAGGGCTGAAGCCTATGCTTTCATGCAGGAGTCCTGGGTTCTGTCACATGGAGTGTGGCCCCAAAAAACCAGAAAGAGGAAAAAGAATCTGGGTCAGGGGGAACTCAGGGGAGTGAGTATGATCTAAAGGCTCAGGTTTGATCCCAATTCAACAGTGTCGGCTGATGCTAGCAGATGTGCTCCCCACTTACCTCCCTGGAAAAGAGTTTATGGTGGGGCTGGAGTGATAGCACAGCGGGTAGGGCATTTGCTTTGCGCGCGGCTGACCCGGGTTTGATTCCCAGCAACCCATATGGTCCCCTGATCACCGCCAGGAGTGATTCCTGAGTGATGCCAGGAGTAACCCCTGTGCATCGCCGGGTGTGACCCAAAAAGCCAAAAAAAAAAAAAAGTTTATGGAAAGGGAACCTGAGCTTTTTCTGACCCATACTTCTTTTCTTCTTTTGAAGTTCTGTGATTTTTTTAAAAATAATTTCTTGGTTTTGCTTTTGGTAGTAGTGGTGTTGGGAATCAACCCAGGGCTTCCCATATACTCTGCCATTGAACCTCCTCCCTGGCCAGTGCTCCCTTAAACTGTAAAATACAAAATGTGACCATCCTACTCTTACAGACAGGTACTGAGTGTTTTTTTCTTTTTCTTTTCTTTTTTTTTAATTAAAAAATAAAATTTGGTTTGGGGGCCATCCCTGACGATGCTCAGGGGTCCTGTCCTGCATTCAGGAATTACCCAGTGCACAAGAGTCCATATGGGATGCCAGGCATTGAACCTGGGTTGGCCGGGTGCAAGGCAAGCGCCTCCCCATCTGTATTCTGTCTCCAGCCCCCCATTTTTTCTTTTTAAAATACTAAAATATGACTCAAGTGTCCCTGCTTCTCTATTCAGTCATAAAACAAAGTGCAGGACCCAAGGATATGGCTCAGAGGGCTTGTTTGCAGGAGACCTGGGTTTCTCCCGGGGCTGCATGGATAACCCTGAGCACAGAGCTGGGAGTAGCCCCTAGGCAGGGCCAGGTGTGGCCTGAACACTGGGAAAGTGAGGAAAAACTCCATCTAGCATCGGGTAGTTCTGGACACGTTCGGTCTTTGCTTGCCTTTCTCTCAGCGTGACAGGAACTTTGAAGATTAAGAAGTTTCAGCACAGAGAAGCACTGTATGAAAGTATATTCTTGACTTATAGGTGTTTTTTTTTTGTGTGTGTGTGTTTGTTACAAACACACTGCGTGCCTCCTCACATTCCTGAAATTAGAATTTTCGCTTCTGCCTTGTAGGACACGAAGCCCACTTTAACTGTAACGCAAGAGCTGGTCTGATTCTCGGTCATTATTCCTTCTTCAGTGTTGGGGTGCACGCTCAGTAGACCCCTCTGAGTACAGACCCCGCTGTGTGAAGGTGGATGTCGTACGGTAGAAACCATCCGTGTGGTTGTCCATGGTCCCAAAGACAGTCCATAGTATCATAGATCAATTCTGCTGGCCAGGTGCCAATTTTGAGAACTGTGTGTAAATATGTAAGCGTATCTCTCCTTCAGAGCATCAGACAAGGGCTTTATTTCAAAGAATTTCGCACGTGGGGGAGGGCTGTATATAATTGGGAGGTAATGTCCTGTATACTTAAAAAGTATGTCGAGTTCTTCTTAGGTCTCTGTACTGAAGATTCAGTTTGGTTTTGTTTTTATATGTAAGTTCACTTTTCACCTACCCTTATTCTTTGTGCAAAAAAAAAAAAAAGTTCATCTAGGAAAATATAGTTTAAATACTGTACATAAAATCCTGGAAGTTAGTGATGCTCATTATTTAATAAAGTTTGTAAAGTACGAAGTCAATGAGCTTGTGAATGAATGTGTTTGTCTCCGAAAGATCAAGATAATTCCAGGCTTCCTTTCCATCAGGCCACCTGACTTTCTGAGATGTGCGGGAGATGGGTTCAATATCACCGGGTTCCAGCTTCTGTACGATCTGGGGGGCCGCAGATGGTGGGGTGGAGGGAAGAGCCCAGAATGCTCAGATTATCTGATGCCAGCGGACCAACTTGCATCCTTTCCCATGGCAGTGAGCACCCCGGGGGAGGCAAGTCCTTTTTCTGTATCTCTGATGTATCTCTGAACCCACAGCACAGTCTGATCTCGTGGCAGTGGTTTCCTCATAGCGGTCCACTTTATTAGTTCCGGTGACTCAGCTGGACATCAGAGAACAGAGCTTGTTTAGCAAATCAGCAGTTCCCAGACCAAAGACAACCTCCCAAACGTCCTATTGTTTTCCGGAACCGGGTGGGTCTCCTCTTGCATAACCCGGAGACAACGGGGTTAGGCAGATGCTTTTCTTTTTCTTTTTTTAATTTTTTATTAGTGAAACACCATGAGGTACAGTTGTAGACTTACAAATTTTTGTGCTTGAGTTTCAGTTATACAATGATGCTTTTCTTTGTAATAGGACCCACACCCAGCCCTAAAGTGTTTGGGGTGGAGACTGTAGGGAGGAGAAGTGGTCTGTTTGTTTTTGTTTTGTTCTTGTTTTTGCTTTTTGGGTCACACCCAGTGATGCTTAGGGGCTACTCCTGGCTCTGCACTCAGAAATTACTCCTGGCGGTGCTGGGGGACCATATCGGATGCTGGGGATCAAACCCGGGTCAGCTGCATACAAGGCAAACGCTATACCCGCTGTACTATTGCTCCAGCCCTAGGAGAAGTGGTCTGATTAGTGGGTACAGTGCTCACCTCAGGCAGTGTTAGGGTGCCAGCAGGGCTGCACCCCGCAATGCTTGAGGGGTATGCAGTATAGGGTCAAATTCAGGGCACTGCATACGTCACAGTCCTTTGCTCCCTGAACCATTTCCTTCGTTCCAAGCAGGTGCCTTCTTACAAAACTCAGATCCATTAAAGCCAAAAGGGTGGCCCGCAGATTCTGGCTTATGAAAGCTTTTCGAGGTCTAACTTCAAAGTCCCCAAGTCCAGAACCAGTGAAGTGATCCCGATTCTACCCTGATCACCACAGGTAGTCCCCTAAGCACCACCAACAGTGACTCCTGAGCCCGGAGCCCAGAGTAATCACTGCCAGGTGTCACTCCCCACCCCCCACCCCCGACCCTGGAATAAAAACCTGCCATCAATAAAATCAAACTCCACATAGATGCCAGGAGAGACCACTTGCCAGGCTGAGCTGCAAGATTTGCACGCAGGGGGCCCTAGTTTGAACCCCTGAACAACACGGTCCTTTGCACAGGGAATGACCCTGATCATCAAAGTCTGTGGACCAAATAGATGTCCCCTCCCCCCTCCACACACACACATAGATGTTTCCTTTTGGTGGAGAAATAGGAGACGAAACTCAAATCTGTCTCCCTAATCTTGGAACAAGGGCAA